CATAATTTTACTGGTCAACAGTAAAATCGTGCTTTTTACTATTACTTTTTACTAGACAAAGCTTTATGAGAAAGGCTAATGATGTGCTGCTATATACACATCATATCAAAGGCCGCTCAGCACGTTCACCGGTTGGGATTTTTCGGCTGCAAGAAGAGGTTCTTCCATTGCGGGGCAAGCCATGAACTCTGACACAAGCTCATGACGGTTCACCTTCAGGACATCCTCCGAATACGCCGCACAGATCTCCGTGTGGTCATGTAAATCATGTTAACCCTCGCCCGTATTGGTGTTTTTCCAGCCGCGAACGTATAAGGGGGGGGGGGGGTCCGTTGGATCCCCCTTGCCGTTTCGCCCTTGATCGAGTTAGTTTGCGAAAAAAACGAGCGTGCTGCCCGTGACGAGAGGAAGCCGATGATACCCAATTTTAAGGTTCTAGGTCATTGGTTGACCTTCCAGGTCAGGTCAATGATCCAATCGTCGGGAAACTCGGGACCTGTTAGAACGTCGTAAAGTGTGGCTGCTATGTGCTTTTTCGGGGTGCTGATCGCGACTATCAAGTTAGTTTTGATCACAGATGATGTCTTCATGCATTTAGTTCAGGTCAGGTCAGGTCAACCAGTAGGGGTCCTACCGGGTAGGTATTCGTAGTAGGTGTCAACCGCCTCTGACAGCTTCGTAACATGTTAGTAAGGCACCAAAACTGCTTCGTAAATATTCATATGGTTGCCTATTTCGAATTCAGCTCCAAAAACTAGCCTAGAAACATGTAAAACTCGAAAAAGTGAACCGAGGTCATAAAAGGTCAGTGACCTGACCTGATCTTCAGGTGACCTTCACACCCACCCTAATGCCTGGGGGCAACATCATATCACGTGTTTGAACGCTTGAAACCACGAAAAGACTGTAAACGCGCGGCTAATGCGAGCCGACATACGCCGAATCGCGATTCCGACTAAACAATGGTCTCAAAAAGTAGGTCATAGGACAAAGGTCATTTGAGTCAGGGTCAAGAAATTTACAGGGTAGGTGTAAAATTGAATAACGCGAGGGTAATTAAAGTTTCGTTGCGATCGGACGCTTTTTACGCGAGTTATTCGCGAAAAAAAACCGAGGGGGGTCTGTTCGACCCCTTCCCCCCTATACGGGCGAGGGTCTAAGGGTGTTTGATCGATCATCCCCCAACCTGGAAACTCATGTATATGATGGAAAATGGGGAAATTGGATGTCAGTGTTTTGCTAGTTGGGGCATTCCACGATAGATCGTACCACATTTTTCCAATTTGACACCCTCATCTCTCGGAATTTAACGAGAATTGGTCTTAGGGGTAATCAGGGGCTCTGAATCTTCCTGTAACAATTTCAGGCTTATCAGATGAATAGTTTTGAGTTATAGTGTATAACATGTTTTGGATCTTGCTTTGCAGCGCTATGTTTGGCGGGCTATAACTCTAAGACGGATTATTCAAATGCCAAATGTTATATAACATTGAACTTGCAATGAAACAGATATTAATATGTTTTTTTTTTGAAATTTCGAAAAATACGCTTCTATGGATACATGACATATCTAGTTTTTTTTTTTAATTTAGTCCGAATGGCTGAATGGGCGGATTTGAGGAATCAGAGCCCGCACTAAGGATAGCTTGTGCTGACCCTGACCCCACCACCCGATCGCGCAATTCCAGTTGCATGGCAGAAATTTGTCCGAACGTTTAACGTGCCCTCACGACTGGACACGGTCCCCTCCGCTCACTCACGTTACCTGGCCTCTGTGCGGCCCCTGCCACAGACACGCACGCCATTACACGTAGGAGCTAAATGTGGCCGCCCGCACCGGGGCTTGAACCGGGCTCTCACTTCCGGCTAAGCGTCGAATTCCGGCGCTTTTATCCACTCGGCCACGGAGAGGACACGGCCATGGTCACGGAGTTTTCTTTCATTTGTATTTTTTTGGACTTAAGGACCATTTTTTTTTTGAATTTTTATTTCTTTAAAAAAATATTTGGCTCATTGTTTAAGAAGTATGCAAAAAATTAGAAAGGTGTTCTTTCTATAAATGTATTTATTTTTCGTCACAATAACGGTCTCGAATAGTGATTTCGGGAGGGGAGCTTACAAATGGCGTGGTAAAGCTGCCTAGTGACCACATGGGCTACTGAAATTTCAATTGAAGTCTGAGTCATCTGGAAAAAAAATGAAAAGAGGGCTCATCCAACCCTCATTCCTATAAGCACGAGAGTGAAAAAGGCTGTTTGGTTCTTACATTGTTTTGGACGCCAATGACCATAGCTGTCCGAGATGAAAATTACAGGACGCATACATGGTGTCCTCCAGAGGTCTCACAACTTGTATATCTGTGAATTTTTGAAGGTCACATGAGGTCAGGTTGGTCACGTGAGATCACTGTTATAATTCAATTGGGAAATATAAAAAACTGTTATTTTGGCGCCGAGAATGATATAAAACTATCTCACGTGCATGGTATCGTGATTTCATGCACTCCTTGCAAAGTCCAGTGCTCCACTTTTGCATTGTTAACCTTGCGTGACGTCATTCATGACGTCACTAGGCTTGTACGAGTTTTTCGTCAATAACTCCCGATCGAATTGAGCTAGAGAGTCGGGAAAGCCACCAATGAACTCGGGAAGACCTTCCGAATCGAATGATATGCCATATGATACCCTTTGCTCAGCTTCGTGAACTGAGGAGCTCTGACCTGACCTTGACCCGAGGCCAATTACTTAAGTTGACCTCACCCTAACAAAAAGTATACCATTCGACGCACCTGAGCTAGGCGAACACAATGATGCCAAAATCGCGGCTCTGCGGCCATTTTTTGCGAAGTTATTTACTTAAAACCGAACCCGTAACTTCAGTCACTTGACCTGACCTCAGACGCTACCGGCTAACCTGAGACCTTAAAATCGGGTACCAATCGCTGCAACTTGTAACGGCACACACGCTCGTTTTTTCCGCGAGGCTCTAGCTCTATTAGAAGCAAAACGGCGTGCTGGGGTCGTATCAACCCCTCCGAAACCCATTTTGTTTGCGGGAAAATGAGGAACCTATAGAAAGAACACCTTTCTAATTTTTTGCATGTCGATTTACAATACATGAAGTTTATTTTGAAAAAAAATAAAAATTTGAAAAAGTTTGGTCCCAAAAGTCATTAGAGGCAAATGAAAAGATAAGGTTTTTGTTCAACAATCAAAATTTTTCTTTGGAATTTTAAAAAGTAATATTTAATTTTTGATTCATCGCAAGCTTAGTGTTGTTTACCGTTTGTTGGTTGCTCAACCCGTTCTTGAGTTATAGGCCATCAAACTCACCGTTACAAACCGAAGTTAAAACAATGTAATGCAATATAACTAAAAAAGTTTTGATCTGAGAAGTCTGATGTTTTGCCAGGCGTCTTTGGGGCATATGATTACCCCTAGGACTGATTTTAATTAAAATCTGAGATGAGGGTGACGGGCCTGGTACGATCTATCGTGGAATGCCCCAGTTGTGTGTGTTTTGTTAAGAATTAAAAATTAGTCAAGGGGGGGGGGGGCTCTAAGCTTCCCAGGGGGGGGGGCTCAGTTCAGCACAGGGGGCTCAAGCCCCCCCCCAAAGAGATATAAAGTTACGCCCCTGTCCGTTAATAAACTGTGCGTCGCTCGTGTGGAGGTATGGTGCTAGCCTTTCATGTAGAACTACAGGGTTATTTTTTTTACAGGGCAAAAAGTTTTTTAACCGAGAGATAACGAAACATATAACAAACGCGAAAAAATATATTCACGTGAAAGAGAATTGTTTGTCATTTTGTTTTCAGGAGCTTTTAGAGACTTATTGGAACTCATTCTGCCATAGTGAGCTTAGCGGGTACGCTGTCATCCGAGCAACGCAGCACATTAAAAGAAGAGCTCAGGCTCGCGCGCATTAAAACGGTGCTCATTTCAAGCACGCTCTGTAAGCCTAAACGGAGCTCAAACTCGAACGTTTCTGTGCAGATGAAATGTCAGAATATGCTTATTACAAAAAATATGAATTTTCTGGCAGTTGATATGTTTTCTGGGACCACCATTCCTCTTCACTTTTGCCCTGTATAAAAAATCACCCTTTAGTTCCAGTACTTTGTATACACTCGTTGAGAGGCCAATGGCTCGACAGTTCGACTTATCATCCAAATCACCGGCCTTATTTTTTACTAAGGGTACGATAATTGAATGCATCAAACTCTGTGGAACACAAGCATAGCTAACAAAGGTGTGAAATAATTGCACCAATATTTGCTTAATATCGCCATCCAGATGAAGGAGATGATCAGGGGATAGACCGCTTCAGCTTGGGGTCTTGCCATTTTTAAGCAAGTCGTCAGGAGTAAGTATAGCAGCACTGATCTCATCATAACTGATTTCGGGGAGATCATCTGATGGTGTACTGTAAAGCTGCTCCAGATACTAATATCAAAGCAAAACATTTTGGCTACATTCACGACCAAAGCACGCGACAAAGTCCCGTGCTTTGGTGAAGCACGGGTTATGGTGAACGCTGGAATGAAGTATGAAGTCAAATCGAATCCTCTGTCCTAATCCCAATCGAAAACCTATGGGGTAATCATGAAGGAGGAGCTCAGCAAAATTGAACCCGCTCCCACAGAAAACAGACTTTAGAGGAACCTGTGAAAGGTGTGGCTGAACATCAGCGCGGATACTAGACATTTTGATCTATGGAATGCCAAAGCGGATGAGGGAATGGGTAGGATAGGGCAGGGGATAAATGGGTAAATAAACCATGACCCGGGGGCTCTTTGTTTATTTATTATGGCGGCGGGCCGATGGAGGGGCATATTATTTCCGGACACCCTGTACAAAATCACATGCAATCTGTGTGATGAAAACCCTGCGGTGTACATAGGCGAGTCAAAAAGACAAGTCCGCTGTGCTGCCGGCGCTGTGGGTGGCCACTAGGCAGGCGGCCGTCACTGGTCAGTGCCCCTGTGGTGGCTGCCGCAGGTGGAGGCGGGCCTTTCCTGGACGACCCGGCCATCCAGTCGACCATTCAGCACCACGGCGCCCCCGGCGCGCACCTCGACCTGGACGCCATCCTGCGCTGCGACATGGACGCACTGCCCGGGCCGTCGGCGGTGGGCGGAGCGGCCGCCAGTGTCGGCTTCAGTCGCTGGTTCCGGCGCCAGTCGCCTCCGGCAGCCGCCGCCGCCGCTCCCGACCAACAACCGCGCTCCAGCCTGCACCACCAGCTGGTCGGCAATATTATCAACGGTGAGCCAGCTCTCTCATTCAGCGGTCCGCCGACGGCCGCTCTGCCTGCGCAGTTACTGGTTTTGTTGCTATTAGCCGGCGACTTGTAGTTTATAAGGTACGAATTGGCGCCATTTTTTACCCTTTAAACCCGTGAATGACTGCGGCATTTTCCATTAATCGGTGGGGGGGGGGGGGGCAGGCTATGTAGAGCCGTCGAAATTTAAATGGCTTTTTATAGCCCTGGAAAACTGTTGAGTGAAACTTAATTTTATTGACCTCAAACTCACTGATGACGCCACAGGTCAGGCCAAAGAAGAAATTATCAACATTTTGGCTTTTTCACGATTTGGGCTCTGGCCGCCAGTTAACAAGTAATGCGTGGTTCACACCGGATCCGTAATGATGCCGCAAGTCGTAACCGTTACGGACGTAATGAGATGGAAATTTCTCAAGATTTCCCAAGCATTGCGACTTTTGTAGACGAAGTTGAAATGTGGCAACCAGTCCCCGTAAACTGGCAGCGTCCACCATACTCGTTACGGAACGTAATAGAAGCTGGGAAAATTGAACTTTTCGGCCCGACTGACCGCCGTAATGACTTTTGTCGACATGTATCTCCAAAACGGGTTGACTGTTTGATGAGCGGTCTTGAGGGGTTGCACCCTTTCTACCCTAAACTGTGCTGTTGATAACACTTATGAGTACCTGTTACAGCACGTGCCACGTGCGACGCGAAAGGTTCCAAAAGAGCTCGTCATGCCTTAACTCGGGAACTGCGGAAGCCTACCAGCCTACCAAACCACATACCACTCTGGCTTCATCTTCAGCCTTCACATCTTACCTGGTGTGATTGAGAGTGGATTATTCTATGTATGCATTTTGAAAAATTGCACTGATAGCGTCTTAAAGTTTAGTGGTGAGTAGATGTAATTTCTGTTATGACTAAAACACATGGAAGTGATGGATACTGTGTTGCACCCGACAGTCAAGCAATGCACATACAGGTCACATCTACTACACAATTCACCTAGTACTGATGTGACCCCTGTCTTTGAAGAACTGAGCAGCTAAAAGCAAAAAATGAAAATAAAATGCTGGAATACCTATTCAAGTGCTTCAAATGTGTCAACCAAAAATGTATACACAATCCCGCACCACCCACTTTCATACCAATGTTTTCTGATGTGTGGCACCATCCTGCACATCCTTTCATGCATTTTCATTTTGTCAACTTACTGGAGGTCCATCATGATGAGCTATGACTATTATGAGCTGTCTTAGCCTTTTTCTGAAACCAAAAAGACTTTTAATATAGATGTGCTCTTCAATGTTGTCCAAGACCTCAATTGTTTACTTGCTTTCTGACAGTTAATCACACTTCTTTTACAGCACACAAGTAAAATAATGGCTTGTGCCATGATTATTTCCAATTCTACACACAAAACTTTTAAGAATCAAGTAAATTAAGCCTAAAACAAGCACAAACAATGCTTGATAGGAGCTGCGCCAGACATGTAAACATGCGCAAAATATCCGTATTTTTCGGGCTGCCGGCGTAAAGGGAATTTTCCGTTCCGGAACGGATTTTTCCGATAAGGCTTATGTAAACGGGGCCACCGAAACGCATTTTTCCGTTCCCTGGCTAATCGGATATTTCCGTTTAGGCTGAATGACTCATGTAAACGGGGTAAATGGGAGAAAATTCAAAAGCGTCTGTTTTGCACGAACGCTATTCTGGACACTCTCAAACATCGAGATATAGGTATATAGGTAAAATTGACACACTGAACCGGAAAATGGCAACTGTGACCCCTCGTTATGTCCCCGAGGTCATCACGGGTCACGAACAGAATCTAACAGTTTTTCGCTAACAGTAACAGTTAGAGAGGTGCTAGGGCGCTGAAAACGCCTTAGATGTATTCGGCTCGACGTTGCGGATCGACTGATATGCAACATGACCTTTTCCGGTCAGGTCATGACCTTGACCTGAGGTCAAATTTTCAAGTTGACCTTTTAAGGTCAAATTATAGTTCATTCGACGCGTCTCGACGAGAGGAACACGATGCTGGCAAAAGTAATGTCATGGCTCTTTTGAGTCAAAAGTTATTGCCGAAAAAACGCTTTTCGTAAAAACAGCTATTTTCTGAGTTTTTGCCCTCTGGAGACTAAACCGTTGACCTGAGGTCAAATCTGAGAACATTAAAGGGACTATCCCACCTTCTAAAATGTTGTTAAAACCAGTAAAATTGTGCCCGACTTTATAGATTGGATGACCAGGAATACGGTTCTGGCATTTATTTTTCATTAAACATCTTAGGCTTTCCATATTCCAAACACAAACTTTCAAATATGTGACGTCACAGCCCAAAATTACCTCCTTGCCCAGGCCACATTACTGTCATAAAGCTGATTCTTTTTACTCTGTAGGCACCACAACAAAGTTCAGACCAAGTTTTAAGCGATTTTTCAACGAACAAACCCATTTAAATCAGAATGACTAAACGAGGTGACGTCACACTAACGGTCGCTCCATGTTGAAGATAGGGCCTTGCGCAAGGCCCATTTTCAAATGAAGGGAACGAATTTCTTCAACACCAAGAGGTCGCGGAGTTGCAACCTAGATAGATAGTGGTTTCTGAACCTCGCCGCAAACTTGGCTATCTCAACTCAAACCCCATGTTAAAGGTGGGATAGTCCCTTTAATCAGAAAGGTCTGTAAAAGGGCTATCGAATGCGCTTTTCCGCGGCGCTGTAGCTCTATCGGTTCCCGAGATAGTCGTCGGCAGTTTCCAAAATGTTGAAATAGTCAACATTTTACCTTGGGTGACCTCTGGTGACCTGAGCTTTGACCTGACCCAAAAAATGACCGAAGTGTTTTCGTCCTTATTTTGGACGTTCTTTCGATTGCCGCTTACCGCGTGTCGCTACATGGCCCAGGAGCCGAGTTAAAAGGGGGGTGTTCAGACCCCCCCCCCCCCGGCCCGGCGAGGAATCTCAGAGCACCGGCCCGGCGTGGGTTAACATTACGAGGGGGTATCGAAAAGTCCTGATCATCACCATGAATTAGATGTGATAGAAATTTGATTTTTTACATTATGTTCATTACTCCTTTACAAGTCACCACACACGACCGCAAATTTATTGCATCGTTTCTTGAGCTGCCTCAGGCGGCCATTGTAGGACCTTCGCACTGTCCTGTAAGTCACTGCTCCACCTCATCAATGACGTCATTTCTGTCCTTAAGTCACCGGCCATACAGTGGATTCTTCATCTCCCGTAACAATCAAGAGTCAGGTAATACCTACCCGGTCAGGTGAAATTCTTAGATGCGGTTGGATTTAATGTCCACATCATGTTGTTTCTTCAATCGCAGCTCAGGACGAATTGGCGGGGGCGCTGTCGGTGCGGATAAAACATCTTTCTTGGGCTTTTTGGCGGCGATTCTGCTTGAGGCCATCTCGCAAGTTCTTCAAAAGTGTGCAGTAGTGCTTGCTTATCATTATCCGACCATCATCAAGACAGTCGGTAATGACTATCCTACGCCAGATCCAGAACACGGATAGCATTGACCTTCCATATCGGCTTCTGCATCTTCGCCTTTTAAGAAGGACAGATGTGCCGTGCTTAAACTTCTTGATCATCTTTTTGTCTCTGGATCATACACATAGACCCAGCATTCGTCACAAGTCATCAAATGATCGAAGATGTCTTCAATTTCCTAAAAAAGGCCTAGTTTTCATTTCGAAAGGCCAAGACGCATTTTCTCTTGAACAAAGTAGACACACGAACTTCTAAGCGGGCTGACTGGTTTATCGTCTATAGTTCTTCGCTGATAATATTTTCAGGCACTGCCAGCATTGAGACCTTTCTGTTGCACAATCATCTGAAAGGCCACACGACGATCTGTAAGGATGAGGTCCTCCACTTCCTTCACAGTCACCACCTTGTCAGTCACTGGTAGTCACCCACTTCTTGACTCCCCTGCAAGGGCCATGCAACCAAGTTGAAAATTATTTCTTCATTTTCGGTAAGTGCATGAGATGGGCTTTCCTCGCCATAAACTAATTTCACGTTCCTGATGTATTTTCTCGGTGTGATTCCGTTTCAAATGCATTAGATGGATGACGGTTCGGTCCTCAATGGGTCCAATACTCATCTTTTTTACTTCTAAGTCTCTCCTACATAAGATAAGACCACTTCTAAGGATTTTCTTTGCGGGAGCATTGTTCTTAAAGGGAGATAATGACCCTTTTCCACAAAATCTGAGTTAGGACCATTTTCTGACAAAACACAACAAGTTATAATGTAAATTAAAACCATTTTGCTCAATTCGGTACCTTGCCGCAAATATCTCAACTTGAAGTCACGTTAGCGGGGAGCGCTGAAAATGACCGTTGAATAAGTACTTACATCACTTTTTGGTACTTGCATGTAATTTTGTGAAATGAGCGTATTCCTTACATTTGATCTTCATCACATCTAGTTAGTTAATGGTCGTCTATAGTGCCTTCAAAAGACATTCATGGTTTGGGGGTGGTTTATGTCTAAATTTACGCAACTTTTTTTCCTGTTCATCATCTGACGCCATATGCTGCTATTTTAGTAGCAACGACTCAATTTTGAATCGGTCCCGCCGACTGCACAATAAAAGAAGATAGATACAACCATAGACCACTATATATCTGGACTGTGCACGGATTTTGCCGACTGCTATTAGGGCCCTGCTGGGAAATTCGACGTAGCACGCGGAATTGTGTATTGACGCTCTAGTAAGCCCATTTAAATGAAAGTAACTTCTTAAATGTGATGTATATTTTAATAAATGTATAATTTATAGCATGATTTTTAACACGATAAATAAATAAAAGCACTTATAGACAGGTATATCACACTGTATTAAGTTCAAAGCATCAATAGACAGGAACAATCCGTGATCGGTCGTTTTTGACAAGAGACAGTCTGACGACATATTGGACACACTGCAGATTAATTTGCCTGTCTAAATCAGACACGCACCC